CGCTCTTCACTTGGCCATGATTCAGAATCTTGACGCTGTTAGAGCTGACGTTGTTGAGCTTTTGATGAAAATTCCCGGCATCGATCTGAATGTTCTTGATTCAGATGGTACGACGCCGATTTATTGGCTTAAGAGGCGACGATCAAAGCCATTGTCTTCTGAAATCTTGGTCAAACGGCTAGTATTTATCAGCGGGCAAACGATCAAACAGCCGGGAAAAGGGTTACAGGCCGAGAGAAGAACACGGCTTCTATGACAGTCCCGGAACTTTGTTCAAGATCTCTGATTCCGAAATCTTTCTCTACGCCGCAACTGAAGCATTTCACTCGAGCTTTGACAGTATCATCAGCGTGAATTCAGAGCATACGAAACAGAAACCCTCGGGGGCACGACTGAAGTTTCTGTTACGACGGGCAGAGGGAGAAGAATCCGAGAAACATCACAACTTTTCCGGTCACATGAATCGGGAAGATCGTCATTCTCACGTGCCTCTCAGAGATATGCACTCGAGATCACCATCGTGTAAGGACAGCAAAGGAAGAACGTTTTCTCTCCCGAGTTTATCAGTAAGGATGAAGTTCACAGAAGGATTGATGAAAGGCGTCGTTGCTCAAAAGGCGGCCCGGTTGATGTTTTCGCCTCCGATCTCTGAATTCTCTGACGGAGCATCGGAAACCGCGGAGATCTCGGACAGAACACCGGTTATGAAGAAGCAAGGTTCTTCTTCTAGAGACCAGAAGTTTATGAACAGGTACTTCTGCTTCGGTTCCAGTGGATCAGCCATGGAACATTCCTGAGGAGATTACTCGCCCTCGCCCTCGGAGTCTTTTGGTTCTTGATCAAGTTTCTTGGCTCACAAGTAAGCTGCGTTTCTGCCTTCTGTGTTACAGTGTCTAAGCCGACATTTAGCTACATTATGCGAGACAATGGGCCGGGCTAAATAATTATGGGTCTAATTATTGGATCAATTCAAGTTAAAATGTATATGAAATAAATATTCAATATACAAAAATACATTTACCAACATATAATTAAATAATATTTGGTTGCTAGTTCCACATCGGGCTTCCAATAAAAATATCGTTTTAGACATATTGCGCAACCAAATATTCTGATTCTAGAATTTTACACGTAAGGCACCACCATAATACTGATTACAAAACAAACGGTCCTCTCAAAGCCCTTTACGAGACATGCCAATTCGTAATCATTGGTTATAAAATATATATTTTTATTTCAAGTTGTACAGTAAATTATGATATTTTCCCCCCCTTTTTTTTTATATAACTCGGGAATCAAGTTGTTGAACTACACCTTTCGTTCACCGAATAAGCCCATATTTATTCGATACTTATGCAATACTCCACTTAAGTGTGTAATAAAAAAAACTATTAACTTAAAAAAATCATTTCAAATTTAAATTATTGACTCCATCCTAATAAACTTTAGTACTTAAAAAGCATCCAAAACAATCCTTCATTTAAAAGAACTCCATCTAAGACTTCAATGTCCTCGAATCCAAATGTAACTAAAATTTATATAAAAATATCTAGAAGATTATTATTTTCAATCAAATCAGTATATTATAAAATGGATCACATTAATAATACATAATTATCAATAGACACATGTTGTTGAAATTTTAAATGATAAGTTAATAACAACACTTATCCTCAAATTATTATTTGAGATTTAAAAAGTTTTGAATATATTTATAACATACTTATATCAACAAATTTAAGTGAACTGAATGTTTTGAAGTATAAAAAATATTATATTCTTTAACCATTCCAATTATAATCTCAAAAAATTAATAAAGTAACTTTAAATCATATATTGTATTATTATTTGAATATTTTTTTCTAAAAGCTTGAAGATTGTTTTGGATGTTTTTTAAAGATGGGAGATTTATTTTGATTTGAAGATATTAATGTTTTGAATAGATATTTTTTAAAAAAGTTTTTTTTTTTATATTCCCCCCTATAAATCATAAAGCTCCATAGTTCTACTTGGCTCACACATCTTCTGTTCTTCTAAAAAGGCAAAACAAGATGAAGAATGTCATGGTGGTGATTGACGAGAGCTACTCGAGTTACGAATTGCTCTTCTGGGTCCTCCAAAATCTGAAAGATTCCATCAGAAGCTCCAAAGTTTTGATCTTTGCAACCCAGCCCCTTGTCTCCATCAATCCCAGTCTATTTGCCTCTTTCGGCTATGCCCAGATGTTCTTTCCATTTTCAGCAAGTAAAGTCTCTTCCTTTGTCGTCTCGTAATGGAAAATTTATACAGGAATTTTTAACAAATGAAACGGCTTTGATCGCGTGTTGCAGATGCAGAGTTAACATGGCTGGCGCAGAAAAAGAGCAAGACGATTTGTCTGGGGATATTGGAGAGAGCCAAGAAGATATGCGCAGATCACGGGGTATTTTCTGTCAAAACCATAATATTTGGGGTTTATTTTGAAAAAACGAAACTGTAAGGGTTTTGACGAGAATTTCGATGGACAGATCAAAGCGGAGACAGTTACAGAAGCTGGAGATCCGAAGGATGTCATCTGCAGGATAGCTGAAGAACACAAGATCGATTCACTCGTCATCACTGACCAACACAACAGGAATCTTGCAAGGTTACATACAACAACGATGAAACATTTTCATTTTGATTTCATAAATTTTTTATAAAAATATAGTTTTATTTCTGATAAAAAAAAATGCAGGTTTTCGTCGGGAGGTCTGAGTGGGTACTGCTCGCGTAAGGCAAAGTGCTCCGTCCTTGTTGTGAAGAGTGAGACTTGAAAAAAAGTTGTTAATGGATATATATATATATATATATATATGTTAGAGGTGACCCTTTGGTACAAAAGTTTATGTGTGTGTATATATATATATATATAAACAAGGAAAATGGGTCAATGTTATTATTATCATTGATGGAGATGAGATAGTTTTATTTAATTAGAATTTTTAGTTTCAGGGAAAAATACCAAATTTGATAATATATCGAGACAATATGATGGTCGCGATTTTTAAATTTGACGTCAGTGTCTATTTTATAAAACGAATATCACAAATATATCATATTTTTTTTCAATGATTTCTAATATAAAATGGGCATTTCGGGTATAGACTTTTTATTTCGGACATGTAAAAAATATTCTGAAAATATACCCGCCTGCCTTTCGGGTTTATTCTGATGTTTTCCATTGCATAACGAATCATAGAGTGAAGGAAGCTTCATCGTATCCGGATATTTTTCGATCCTTCAAAATTCCGAAATTAAAATAATAAAATTTAATGTTTATAATCATTAAAGAAATACATTAACGAGACACTTCAAAATTGGGCTACAAGTTTTTGAAAGGCCCATTATCAATTTGGGTAAAATAGCCGAAGTTGGATACGACGTCGTTGTCTGCTATATATATATATAGAGAGACTTAATTTCATTCATGGAAAACAAAATGGCCCAATGACGTTCAACGAATGAGAACCTTCGTGGCTACTTTTTGTCCACTCATTTTTATTTATATTATTATTAAATACTATTATTCCTTTTTCTGCCTTAAAATAAAATTAGCCATATATAAGTACATATTTTTTTGTATAATAATAATTACCAATGCCCAAAAAAGTTAAAGATGGAATGGCTGACCACAAAAAAGTATGCATCTTAAAATTAATTTAATATTCTAAAGACAAATAAATCAAAGTGTGAGTGATATTTATCGCACGACGAGGCAGATATTTTGAGCGGTAGGCACCGCCTATCCGAGAAGACATAATTCATGTATGCAAATTTTGATTCCGTTAGTTTGATTTTTTTTTTTTTATAAAAAAATTATATTATTTTTATAAAATACTACGAAATACGAATTGTTAAAAAGGATAGTCAATTTTATAATAAAAAAAAAGCTATTTTTTTTTCCAAATAAATTCCTGTTTCTTGCTTGGTGTGACAGATTTTCTATCATGCAAACATAAAATATTGGCTTTAAAAATCGATTATATAAACATTAGTAATAAAAACAAGTTTTTACAAAAAAAACTAATCTCGGATTCTGTTGTCAAAAATAGATTTACAGAGAGAGATATATAAGTGTGTATGTGCATATATAGAGAGAGAAAGAGAACTATATCTCACGTGGCTGTGTCGTTGATAACCCAACCCAAGAGCCATACGACTCGCTTCATTCTCTTTCTCTCCCTCTCTCTCTCTCCCTCTCTATTTTCTGTATTCTTGTTTCTTTTCCTTCTGTGAATATAGTCCCTTGAGATCGGACTCTCTCTGTCTCTCTTGGACGCAGAGTGTAAGCTCCGACGGTACCAGAGACGATCTCCACTCCTCCAGCTTTAGGTATGATTCTCTCAGTCTCTGTTGTTTTGACGATCCGTTCGAATTTCTTGTGTTTTTCTCGGGAGCGCTTACGATCTCCAGGATCCGGCTTCGTTTTCTCGTGATCTGACCCTCGGGATTCGATGTTCCGTTGGTTTTTGGTTTGGATCTGGAAAAAAAAAAAAAGCTATTCATCCGATTCTGAACCTTCACGTCCTTCATCGTCCTTGTTTCTTTCCTCTGGATTTTAGCGCACGAACATCGGAGACTTTTGACATCCGGATTTCTCTTATATTTGTTCCGATCTGGTGTAGGATTCTACGGTATTTCACTTATCTGCTGTTTGTAATTTTAAATTCATGGCACGAATTCTCTTTTTTTTTTTTCAATTTGGCCTTGTTTTTTTTTTTTTTTGAATTGGCAACGTTGTCGCCATTTTTTAGTTAGCCTTCTTTTTGAATTTAGTGGGACTAATTCTGTCTCCACTGTGATCTTGACAGCGTCTCTCTCTTTTTTTAAAATTTCAAACATTAATTAATATATTATTTTCCACACACAAAAAAACTCGTCAAATTTGTCAACTAACGATTTCTCGTTCTCCCATTAATTAATTTCCTAATCAATCAGAAACGCTCCAGTGACCAGATTTCGATAAGAGCCACGTCACGATTTGACCAGTTCATCACGCTCTGTTGATAGCTGTGCAAACATATTTCCAAGCCATTGAACTTTTGCTGCGTCTGATCTGAACAGAAAGCGGCAATCGAAAGATGAACAGCTGTGGCATCCAACGAAACGCGTTTGCGGCCGGCGACGAGGTGAGGGGAAGTTCCATCACTGTCGCCGTCTACGACCGCTGGGAGACCGTAGTTTGCCCAAAACCGCGTCGTATCGGAGTCCTCAATTCCGTCAACGCCCACCCTCAACCTGTCCAATCCCTCAGATCGCAGCTCAGGTGACGTCTTGGCCTTTTCGTTGAAACCTAACATCTCCTATTTCTCATATTTCTACCAAGTTTTAGAATCTCTCAATTTTTACTGTTTTGATTGAAGGGTTGTTTCTGTTTTGATTTTCAGCAACAAAGACGAGTTAAGCGACTCGAATCCAGCAAGTGACCTTATGGACATCATCCTCAGAAAGGTATACTTCGTATTCAATAACCTTTATCCATGATTTTATATCTGATCACTGTCCTGCCGTATTATAGTAAAGATAAGATGATCTACTTTACAAACGATGTCACTTATTAGAAGTTTTCAATGTATTTGTGTATGATGATTGCAAAGCTGCGATTTCTGAATACCAAATGTGCCCTATAAACAAAGACCTTGGTGTGTTTGTCTATCATCTTTGCAGGTAGGTGGTGCACCAGCAGAACAGGATTGTCCTGACACTATAGCCTCGTCGCCTCTATTTTTTCCTGGGTCACCGCCGGGCAGAGTACCTAACCCATTAACTCAGGACTCTAGATTCAGGGATGGAGTTTTAGTCGCACCATCTCCACCGCTCTCACTGCACACAGCGCTGCCACCATCCTCCCCGCCCTCGGGGAGGACAGGTAGTTGCATTAGGTCGAATTTCGGGAACAACCCGAAAGTTAGAGTCGTGGGGTTCGATCGCCTCGACAGGAGGGACAGACGCAGCATCCCTTCTCTGGCTTAAACGAAACCCCATCTTATTCTTCATTAACATCATCATCTTATTCTCCTCCTCCTTCAAACACATGTAATCAAATTGCAAGCAGAGTACATAGCAGAGCACAGGTAAAACGATCATAAGGTAGCTTAGAAGAAGGGTAACAAGAGATGCAGGCAACGTGAGAGAGGGACAGTTTTCTATTTGTCAAGAAGTTGGTGTATGGATGGTTTTGGTGAGTGTAAATATGTTCAAAGAAGGCTGTAATTAGGGCTTTTTTTTTTGTAAGCAAGAAAAATAAACAGAAGTTGTAATTGAGAATTTGAGAGTCGAGATGTGAAGAATCGTTTTCCATCTGTGTTCGTATCATAATATTGTTACCTTTCCTCAGGTCGACGATGTTTTTTTTTTTTTTTTTTTTTTTTTTTTTTTTTTTTTTTTTTTTTTTCTCTCTCTTTTTTTTTTTTTTTTTTTTTGTTGTTGTTGTTGTTCTGGATTCGTGTTGTGCCCAAAAAAAAAAAGGGTTAACAATGGGAGAAAGCCCAACATGGAAAAGGCCCAATCCATTAGGAAATATGGGCTTTTTTAAAATTGTTGGGATATTGGGCCTGGCCCATTATGCGCCGAAAGTACGGAAGACGTCAATTCGGCTGTATCACATAATTTATTATTATTTATTGAACTTTACTTTTTTGTTTGGGCTCCACCTTTTTTTTCAAATATCCCCCACGCGCTTCACCTTAGGCGTGTGATTCACCTCCATCTACTAGAAACTATATATGTACATATTTTTAACCCAAAAAATGAATATAATTAAATTTGTAAAAAAGATATTGAAGACCTATAGTTATATAATTCGTACAGATTTCTTAACCTGATTATTGTTATACTCTATTAAACTAATGTATGATTTTTTATTCTTGAATTTCTAATTTTTCTCATGAATAAAAGATCTCTCCTACATGTCGTTTAAATAAGCATGAAATTAAATAATTTCAAAAAAATAGATTATTAATTTTATTTCGAATATATGTGTAACTACTTTTACGGCTTGGCGTGAAGTAGACGCGTTCACCTGCGCGTGTTAGTTATGTATCCAATGAAAAAGCTTTGCTTGCTGGCCTTTTTCTACTGCCTCAAGAAAAGCTACTTACACAGCTCTCTCTCTCTCACAGAGTGAGAATCCAACGGAGACATGGGAGAAGGGAAGGGTTCGACTCTGGTTTACCTTCTCGTCGTTGTTCTCAGCTTAGTCGCCTTCGGGTTCGCCGTCGCCGCCGAGCGCCGCCGCAGCATCGTAACCTCTCATTTCCCTCTTTCTTCTTCTCTTCTTGCTTTTTTTTCCCCGTCTAGGGTTATTTTTTTCCTTTTAGTTCTCTTGGAAGCTTTAGTACTGCTCTCACCCCGAATTTCTGCGAAATAGCTCTGGAACAGCTATGTACGTTTTTTATTTTTCGATTTTCTCGTGATCTGGCCCTAAGCTCGTAGGATCGATTCCGTTTGTTATTTGGCGGATGAGCTTTTGTTCCGAGTGATTATGGGTTGATATTTGATTGAAGTTCCTTCCAGATTCATTTTTTTTTTTTGGTAATGTTGATTATATTTGATTCCGACAATTAGATACTAATGTTTTTTTTTGTCTATTTAAAGGAAGATGGATAGAATGTGTTGTTCTGAAACTAGCTTTCAGGGAATAATCGCTCCTAAAGTAATATAATTTTCTTAGGATCCAAGACCAATTAAAGCAGGTCTCTAAGCGTGTATCTGTGTATGTGTCTGTGTGTTTCATCTCAGGACATTTTCATCGTAGAAAACCTAGATGACACTGAGAACAGGAACATACTCTGTTCGTGAGTTATTATGGTCTCGGGGATTCTGAATCTTGGATTTTGTTCAAATTCCGTACACCTGATCATGTTGCTAGTTTGCAGTCGTGTTATCGATAACTCGACACAGCTGCTGTGAGAAGAAGCTATTCCCTTGAAGTTTCTCATGATTTCACGGCTATTGTTATATTGAATTGGGAGGTAGTAGACAATTCGTGTTTTTTTTTTGTGATTCATGTGAATCACAGTGTGTGATCTTTTATTTGAGGCAGCGAATCCCTATCCATGCGAAATTCAGATTTCGTATCATTTCGTACATAGCCGCATGTAGGAATCAGCCTTGAGTGGATTGAGTTAATTTAGCGATGGTTGAACCTTTTCATCTCTTCGTGGCAGGGAAGAACTATGACAGATGAGATAACAAATGCGACGTATTGTGTTTATAACTCCGATGTTGCCACTGGTTATGGAGTTGGATCTTTCCTTTTCCTTCTTTCGAGCGAATCACTGCTTATGGGTGTGACCAAGTGCATGTGCTTTGGAAGACCTCTAGCTCCAGGCAGCAACCGAGCATGGTCTATAATCTACTTCATGTCTTCTTGGTAAGCTTTGTCTAATTCCTCTGTCAATCTTACATATTACCGTCCATTCTTTTAGTTGGTTGATCTTTACATATACCTCTTCATGTCTTTTAGTTGTGCTTAATTGAACCATATTTGATAGGGATTTGCCCTAAAACTATTTATGGAAGAGCTTAGATTCATCTGTAGACTGTACCCACCAGCCATCTTGATTTTTTCTCGGAGACCCATTTCCATTTTCAGCTTGCTTACCGCTAAACAAATGAGTTTTCATCTTTGTCTTTCGGTAAGTATTATTGAAATCTAAAACCATCTTTATGCAAATCGAAAATGCAGGGTTACATTTCTGATAGCAGAAGCTTGCCTGATAGCAGGTGCGACGAAGAACGCTTACCACACTAAGTACCTCAAACCCCAACACTTCTCGTGCGAGTCATTGCGCAAAGGCATTTTCATTGCGGGAGCGATTTTCGTGGTTGCCACTATGATCCTCAACGTGTATTACTACATGTACTTCACCAAGTCGGTTTCTTCACCGCCCGCCCACAAATCGAACCGACATGGTCCAACCGTCGGTATGGCTGGTTATGCCTAGAGCATGGACTGGTTAGGGGTTTAGCCATTTCATTTGTGGATATGTTCAAGGTCGCTCCATTGTTATTGCATCATCGTGCCACCTCCTACTCATGTTTTGTACTTTTGTTGGTTTTAAGGCTTTGGAGTCGATTGCTGAAAGGACATGACTTTTTTCTCTCGGACATGTGCCATGTGAAACATATAAATATCATACCTAATTTTCTTCATATAAATATCATGCCGTACGACTTTTTCTCATGATTGGAGGGATCTATACATACACACATACATATATATATATATATATATATATGGTGTAAGTGCAACTTTTGTGAAGAGGGACATAACTGTGGATTAAAGTTTCTGACAACGGAGGAGAAGGGAAGTGGGGAAAGTGGACAGAGAGAGAGGCGACAAAAAGGGGGAGTGAGGAACAACAAACGCAAAACGGCAAAGCGCAGTTAATGAAACGACAGCTTTTCAAACGTCTAAACACTTCAAACCACAACAAGAACGTTCATTGAGGCAAAACCATTGTCTTCGTTTGGTTATGGATACAGCACCAGACATCAGGTCCCACCAAATTAATGTAATCGATTTTCCATGTTGTATTCATACATACACACACACACACATATATATATATATATTATATATATATATATATGTATGACTCTGATTCGGTTCAAACTTAATTATTTTTACTTCAAAAATAAAGTCACTATAAATCAATTTTATTTTATGTTTTCTATATACAAATATGATATAGTTGGGTAGAGAAATTAGTATCCTTGTAAATAACCAGTGACACGTCACTAACGAGAGAGAGGGGACAATGAAGAAACTCTTACAGTGTGTGTCATCATCGGTCAAAATCAACTTAGATTCTCCACCTTTGACACTTTTTGCCAAAATCCGGACGAAATTAACGTTTTTTTAATTAATTTCATTTTTTTTAGCTTTCATTTTCTTCGAATTTTACTCTATTGACGATGTAACGTTTTTTTCCCATCAATTTGTGAAAACTTTAGGTGAACAACAACGCTATATTTCGCTAAAAGGCAAAAAAAAAGAAAATTAGTTATTTGTTCAATATTAAAATTACGGTCCATGAAATTAAAATTATTCATAAAGAGTCGTGTAAAAACAAGGAGTAAGATCTGAGTAAATATAGATTAGTCGAACACCGCACGGCTTGACTATATGTACAGAAACAATTGGCGTAGAAGTTAGGGAAAACAAAAAATGAAATGAAAGAGATCACAAGAGTGCATAAAACAAATGACATAATTTTACTAAAGTCAAGAAGAAAGTACGTGAAATTTAGGGGCTTAATTAATAATTAAAAAAAAAAAAGAGGTTAGTCAAGATATTGATTAACGCATTGGCGAGATTCGCGGCCCACATGCACCCACACCGTCATATCTACCCATTTCATTCACCTTTCTACGATGTATGTATGTATGTATGTATGTATGTATAAACATACCATTAATTTTGTTGGATTTGTATTGACAAGAACCATTACATTTGGGGTGACTTTAAAATAATGACACGTGGGATTTTTTTTTTTTTTTTTAAAGTATAAGAGATATATTGCTAGTGTGTGGTTTATAATTTATTCCAAGCTTTCTTATTTGAATAATTCTATACGATAACTAAAGTCGAGGAAAAAAAACATGTTAAATAACACAAATTGTGTCTTGATTTTGAAGAAAAAAAAGGAATCTAATTACGAATTAAATAACACATATATGCCATTGACGAGAGGGTCAAGAGACAGGATCTTATTTTTTTCCATAAAAAAAGGGGGAAAAATTTATTCTGCCATATTAAAAGTACTTAACCTGATATACATTATACACAACTTGTAAAAAAACCTTTTAAATTATCTTAAGACATCTGTCGTTTTTATATGTTTTACATAGGGCATTCATGTCTCAACCATTTTCGGAATCTACCATTTATATAAAAATTACATAAAAATGTTTACTTTTTATTCAAAATTAAATTTTATTAAAATTATATTAAATTATAATAAATTGTTGTATTTTAAAATAAATCCGCAATTCAAACAAAAAATGTTGTTATTAACAAAACAAAATATAGAAACTATAAATAATTATTCAGTATTTTAGAAAAATGATGATATTTAAAGATAATACGATTAATACTGGGTCGTATAATAGAAATGGAGAATGAATTTAAAAGAATTGAGTTGAAAAAATTGTAATCGATTTTTTGGATATATATATAGAGAGAGAGAGCAAATTAAGGTAGCAAAAGATAACACAAAAATTTGCAGAACCTCTTAAAATTAATTTTAAAAATTATTAATTAAGATTATTTTGAAATTTGCTATAATTTGTTTTTTACAAAATTGGACACATTTAAAAGCTGGGGTCGTGTGCAAAGCACGACCCTGAGCCATCGACCGGTTTTTTGCATGAAAGGCATACTACAAAACATATTCTCTCTCTCTCTCTCATTCATATTACCCGAAAAAAACCCAGATATTTACACGAACACAACAAAAGGTCAATCGAGAGAATCAAGATTAGGGTTTAACGTTCTTATTTCCAGTTTCTTCAATCTCGAAGAAAAAATTTATGTTAGGGTTTTGGTTGGGATGTCACAGGTTCGGGAGCGGAGAAGCTCGTCGGTGATAATGGTGTTCTTGATTTCTACTCTATTGATACACATTTGGGTCCTCCCCGAGAACGCCGGCTTGGCAGCCGCAATTAGGGTTTTCCCAGAAGTTCCGGCGAGTAACCAACAGGGCCTTATGAAGAAGTACTTCGCCGGAAAAGTTTCTCCGGCGGGTCGGGTCGTCGGACTCGGAAACGGCTTCCAAGACAACAAAAGAACGGTACCCAGTTGTCCGGATCCTCTACACAACTAGTAGAATCAGTCTTTATCGTGATTTTTTTTTCTTTTCTGTATCTCTATCCATAATCATCATCATCATCCTTCTTCTTCTTCTTCGTCTTAATTATCCATCGAACTACTGTATTTATGCCCAAAATACCCACGTTTTTCTCATCTTTGTAAGGGGAAAACGAGGGTATTTTGGAGATTCCAGTGTGGGAAGAATACTATGTTTCATGAACAAAATCAGACTGATGATAGGTTTTCTACTCGTCTTTGTGTTGTTAGATAGCTTTTTTTTTTTACTTTTTTTTTCTTTTTTCGTATTAATGACAAAAAAAAAAACTATATGAACCGAAAGAATCTGCTTCCCTAACACAATAAAATATTTGTAACGAGTTTACATGATTTAATGGCAAGCCATGCGTTCATGGTCAGAATATCGGTGGAACTATATGTATATACACATACTATTTAGGCTCTGTATTTGTTATACATAAATATATCATCAGAAATAATAAATATTCAGTTTTATTACCTAAACTGTTGGTAAATATTATTTCATAACGTCTGGAAACTTCATGAATCACTAGGGTTTACTAATTAGTAAACTATGATATATCTCAAATAATAATACCGATAATTTCATATGGCTTCTCCTAATTCAATGCCTGGTTGAAACATTTCAAATCTAGTATCCCATATAACAAAGTAATGGACCGTCGTGTTATTGTACATCCCCAGCGATAGTATTATATATATATGTATGTATGTATGTATATGTGCACGTTTTTTTTTGCTTGATGATAAAATTGGTTCAAGTATAGAGAATTTGTGGATCGGTTGACTTTATGATCGGTAAAAGTGTCGTTGACCATTTCATATAAATCGTAAAAAGGCTGTTGCTTTTACTGCGACTGAACCTCTCAAAAAGCTTTCTTTTTTTCCCCTCCAAATTATAGCAGGTGTATGGTATGGACGCTGTTTTCCAAATCTCTACGAACCGTGGTGACTCATTCGGTATTCGATTCGAATTCAGTTCGAAAAATAATTCGGTATAGTTCTTTCAGATTTATAAAAATATGTATCAATCGGTTATAATATCATATTCGATTCAGTTCGAATTTAATTCGATTCGATTCTGGTTTTTAAGATTTTCTTAGGACATTTTCGTTTTTTCGAGTTTATTTTTTTTAATTCAGTTCGTTCGAAAATTTTGAACAGTTCAGCTCAAAAACGGTATTGCATTTTTTTTATTCGATTTTGATAAATCATACCGAAACGTCCACCGCTAACGAAAAGTATATTTTATTTTTAAATAAAAACAGAGAATATTTGTGGCATCAATGAACAAAATATTCTTCGAAAGTTTCTATTATTTTTATTTTCGTAATTTATTTATTTAATCATTCCATCATTTCTATTGAACTATGATTCTAGTTTATAGAAAAAGAAACATGTGACAAGTATTCTATTTCATGACAAAGCCGTATAATGTAAAAACAATTCACCATTGGGATTCGTGGAAGAAGGGTAAAATGGTATAAGAAGAGATTTTACTGCGACTAGAAAGAAGAGGAGTGAGAGAGATGAAGAAGTTAGACGTGGACGCTAGTGTTTGGATTTTTTCTCCATTTATTTCTCCAAATGGAGACAAATTAAAATCGATTATTCAAGACATATATATAACACATATATATATATATATTAAAAAATTAAATTCCACTAGAACTTGCCTAAAATATTTCCCAAAGTAACCTAATTCAAGAGATTCTCTAACTTGTAAGTATAGTTATGCCTGTTTATATATATATATATATATATATATATATATTATTAATTATCAGATCGTATACATCATGCGTATATGCCTATGTAATCTATTTGCACAAGTGCGTGCACGAATTAAATAAGTAAATGCTGTTTTAAGACGCACTATATTAACAAGCAATGTCAACTTCCTTGTTTTCTACGCACTGATATAATAATCTCATTTCCATAATTTTATAATTAGAAATTTTAGAGGAAACTACGAACATATTTACAATATTTGTATCTATACATGTTTTTAAGAATTAAGCATTTATTCTGGTGAAGAATATTTCCAAATGTGAGATAGCCCTATACATGTTTCGCAACATCTCATTGTTTTTTACGATCAAAGATAAATTAAAACCATATTTTTGGAATATATATATATATATATATATATAGTTCAGTATATCAATATTAAGGGAAATTAGGTTCATATAACAAGAATGAACCAACGTACAATGAAACTAAAAATAAAATCATAAGAACCGTAAGGAGGGGCGGGCTATTAAATATAAAAATCGCAACCCTAGAAAATCGATATTTTGGATTCGGGAGAGTAAACTTTGGAGTTTTCGAAATTTCTTCGATTTTATTTGCACTTTTCTTGTAATGTAGCAGAGGAAACGACAAGAGCATATGATAATATATTGTTTATCATTATAAATATATATATATATATATATTGTTTATTAAAATAATAAATGAGAATTTGAAAAAAAAAAGAAAAAAAGAGAGGAATTGGATTCAGGGTTTAGGTTCATTTAGGTGTTTTGTAAGAGACCAAATGAAGCAAAGCGCCACGTAATATGCGGCGAAGGGTTTTTTCCTCGTGGGGAAAGCTGCTGCCTTTATGTCTTCGCTTTGTCTTTTACTCTTTGGATTTGGAATCTCTTCGACTGTCAGTTATAAACATAATGAAAAAATATTTACGAAAATTTTAAAATACTTTACCTCTTGTACCAAATGCTAATTTTTTTTTACATCATTTTTTAAATGGGATCATAAGCAAATTATTAATATGTTAGTGACGGATGAGGTCAGTCGCTACGACCAATGTTTGTACGGATGGAACTCTGTGACTATGAACGTGTTCATGTATAAATTTTATTTTTAACTATAAAAGAGTTTATTTGTGGAAATAAAAGGTGTATTTATATATATGTTATTGCAAAAATACAAGTAGATTCAAGTTTCCATTGACTTCTTCCTAAAAACGAGTGTAGCAAATTTATTTTAAAATATCTGTTATAACTATGGAAAACATAGGAATGGTGGTAATTCGTAAAACAAATAGAAAGGAATTTAAGTATAACATGAAAGAAATACACAAAATAAGGTGACAAAAATCATTTAAATGGTGTATAGCATATATTTGTCTATTAAGATAGGCCCATAATGCTTGGGCTATTTTATCAATTCGAAAACAGTATGGGCTTTACATGTAAGCCCAAGGCCCACTTAACTTCTATTCAATAGCCCGACAAAATCGGTAACGTAAAGAACAAGAAAACAACCCTAGCGATGTTTAACACAACCAAAAATACAAAACCTAGAGAATTCCCCATCTGAAGATAAACTTCCCAAGAAACTCATCTTCGTTTCAAGACCTTTGAAATGCCTTTAATGGTGGAAGGCGTTGTCCTGCAACATCCTCCGATGAGTTTAGCTCCAAGATCACGCCATTTCGTCGCAAAAATCTCGAATTTATCATCGCCGAAACATTTGGAAGGCTGCCAAGATCAAAACCCACAAAAAAAATCACATTGGGTATCCATAAATGTAATAAAGTTTGCTCCTTTTTGGCTCAATCCAAACACAACACATCGGAAATGGACCCAAACCCATCACCAAAAGCAAATGCCAAGTAGACTTACCAGCCATCTTTTGGCTCTCCCATCCCAAACCTCCCCGCTATTCGGGTAAACAATGATAGCTTTCTTGGTTAACTGAAATGCAAAACAAGCATAGAATATGTCAGAAGAAAAGGCGTTCTTTCGACCCATCAAGCCATAGTGAACTTAACTTGCCTTGGAGAATTTGCATATGAGACTCTCAATGAAATGAGGAGGGGCGCAATTTATGCCAACCGCATATATGTTGTTGCTTTTGTTCAGAGGTTCGAGACATTCCTCAAAGCTCTCGCCAGAGGGAGCATTCTCACCATCTACAGAACTGAAGCATATCCATGCTGGGATCTGAACGTTCTCTTCCTCCAGAAGCTCAATGCATGCCTGCAAATATAAGAACTTTGAGTATGGATTCTTTCAATGGAATGTGTTATGTTATGTTCCAAGTTTTTGGAGGGGGAAAAAGAGAACCTGAGCCTCGAGTTTGTTTGGGATGGTTTCGAAAGCAAGAATATCAGGACCCGCATCTACAAGAACTTGAAGTCTGCGCCTGTGAAAGTCTTTTAGCTTATCCAAATCCACTTTTTCTCCATAGTCCCCACTGCAAGAAACATCCAATGACAGAATCATACATACATGAGATGTAATACTGTCAAGGTTTCAAGATTTTCCTAGGATCTGGACTACAGTCAACTCTATGGTAACCCATAGACTGTAGCATCTGCAATTTCTCATATTACAAAATCATTATTCCAACATTTATGGAAGGAAATTTGGGAATTGTAGACGGAAATCAGAAATCAGAAAAGAGATGGTGATGACGCTCAAAGATAACTGGGAAGGCACCTGTACTCAGAACCATCGGCAAGATAAGCTCCATAGCTTCCAATGGAGGCAGCAACTAGAGCTCGGTTATAGCTATGTCCAGGAATTTTGCTCGCATTGTCCCAGAAACTGTCGCGGGCTTCAACTGCTAATCTGACACTCTTCTGTAACAAAGACTCACTCTCCTCCATCGACAATCCTCTTGATAGAAACCCCGGGAGAGTAGCCTGTGAATGTAGAGCTCGTTTTATAAGTGAATGTATATCGACTGAAACTCAGTTAAGACGGAGAGAATACAAAACCACATTATATTGTGTCCTTTCCCTTTTCATTGGAAACATAAAGCAAACATCAGTGCTTGCTTCTGAAACTCGAGAACAGATCCTAGTGACGCCAACCCAATGAAACAGTTGTTTCTAAGCAAATCTTTCAAAAATAGGACAAATACAACTGTAACAAATGAACCCAAAAAGATAATCATCTATCTGTGACCTTGCTAAAAAGAGATTTCAATGTATAACTTAGATTACCAAAAAGGACAGAACAGATGAATCATAGGTGAGTTGCAAGTGAATACCTGGTAAGATGAAGTTACCAAGATGTCTGCACCAGCCTCCAAGTATTCCAAATGAACCTGCATTTACAAGCAAATTCATCCATAAGATTTCGAATCTCCAAAACAAAAAAGAATCCCAAGAGGTCAAATATGTTATGATAAAGATCTACATTTTCAGCAAAAACTTGCAAAAACCCAGTTCTCAAATCCATCATTTTCCATGAGAGAACCGAAACGACAAGCCACATGGCTAGTCCTAAAGGCTTAAACTTTTTTTTTTTACAGAACTCAAATTTTCCTGCGGCGAAATATCAATAAAACCCACTCTCAAAAATCGATTGTTTTCACCAGAAAAATAGAGGGTAGAAACTAGAAAAGTCGGTGCGAGTCAAATTTTCACCAACCCGTTTGATGAGTTCGGGATCTCTGATGAGACAGACGGCACTCCACAAAGGGTCGTTAATGGCGGCTCCATGGCTCTCGAGCTGGGTGGCGAAACCACCGTCGACAACAGCGCAGCCGCCGCATTTCTCTATCAAATCTTCCAACAATGCCGCACTCTTCGACAAACCCATAATCTTTTCCTCCTCGGGTTCTTCGAGATCGATGTGGTAATTAGAGATTTTGTCTTCTTTTCTCGTAAGAAAATTAGAGGTTTATATCTCTTTTCGCTGTGAAAGAAGCCAACGCCAACGGCGGTCTGTTCTTCTTCTGAAGAACAGAGAGATGGAAAATAGATGTTGTGCGATAGTGGGAAATATATGTTTTGGACTCGTGGGCCTGGGCTCCATCCTGAAGTCATAAAATATTATTATTTTTACGCGTTTCTCTCTTTTTTTTTTAAAAAAAAAGAAAAATTAATGGTAAAATCAAATCTAGCAATTTTTAAAAAATAAATAAAATCATATAACTATGAACTGGATCAACATGGTCAGACGATAATATTTTAAATTTATATGTTCACAGATTCGGTGTTGGCCTATAAGTTTTTTTAATATAAGAAAGATATAAAGAATTGTTCAAATTTCACCTTTTTGACCTTTTCTCATTGACTAATCATCATATAAAAGAAATTCCAAAAAAAATGTTAGGTTTATTTATTTATCTTTACTAAACAAATAAAAAAATAACCATTAAAATCAATTGTGTAGAAAATTTATGGGGGTATGTATTTGATTGAATATCATCTATATATATTTTGTATTTTGTTGATCTAATTTTGTAACCAAGCGTTTGAGGCTATGGCTTATATTTTAGGTTTTGTTAGGTGTGGGATTAATTTATTAGGTGAGACAGTCAAGAAGATACAATTTCTTGTGTTGAATTGACTTTGAAGAAAGACATAATTTGCAAACCGCTTATTGTGTGTATTGTTTTTTTATTTTTATTTTTCAGAAATATTACATTCAAGTATTCATCATAACATAATATTGTGTTCATACCGTACCATTCACACTAGCGGCGGTGCATGCAAAATAATGGTATTTTTTATAAAATATAAAAATAAAATATTTTTATAATCAACTCGGATAATCACCGACGATATATATATATATATATATATAGATATATTCGAATTTGAACCGAATTGTTAAATATTCTGAATAAATTCGAATTTGATTGTATAATTTGACACTTTTTTTTCTCATTGGAAACGGTCCAAATAAATTGGTATTTGTCAATAAACACACATTTTGATTTGACCAGTTTTAGATTCTGTCAAAATCCGACTCCGTAGGCAACCAAACAGCCATTATAGAATCACATCCGAATACAATTCCACATCATTCCTTAGACTTTTTCTCTCTTGTAAAATTTTCTCTTAATTTAGTTGAAACTTTTTTTAATTGATCCCATTAATTTTAGTTTTATCTTTTTGAATCCGAGTTTTACCCTCATTTAAAATACAATAATATTATTCTCTCTTTTTTTAAAAAAACTTTTTCAACTTTTGTTCGTTACTTTATAATTTTATTGAACACACATGCTTTTCTATTCGCCTATATCGTCTCTATCATTTAAAATTCCCCGGAGAATTTTGCATCTAACCGCTGTGTACATCTGTGTGTGTATATACGTATATTTGTTTATGTGTATGTATATGTATACGTAGTTGTTTCGTGTTCCTGACGGAGCTTCGGTCAGTCGCGTTCAGATTTTTTTTTATGGATTCATTAATCGGATCATTAATAATTAGAATGGGCCTTAGAAAAAGCCCAGTTTCTAAACAAAACCATTTGCGGAGCTAAAGGGCCCAAGTGTACGCCAGATGGCCCGTTTCAGATAATTAAATATATTTGGAAAACGTAAAAAAAAAAAATATATTCCACACAAAGCATAAAAAAGGACTTCTGAATAAATAAAGGTTAGGGCTATAATAATATACAAGATACTTCGTATCACGTAAGATAGGCCACGTCACGAGGCTGACGCATACTCGTCTTGAGGTGACGTCATCATCCATCTCCACCGTCTATTTTGTTGTGGTTGGTTGACCATATGGCTCCTCCTTGGAACAATGGTCTATAGTATAAAGTCAGCAACCCCGCTCGAACGAGATGTCATTGTAACGGATCACTTTCTCGGCTCCATCCTGATTTGGTGAAACGACGGCGTTTCTGTTCGTCGGTGACATGGAAACGGAGAAGGAGAAGGGACGTCAGGATGATAACGGAAGAGCTGACGGGAACGGAGGGAAACCGTCAACGGCAGATGAAGCCTGCGACGGAGGCCAGACGTTGACGGAGACGGAGGAGAAGGTGGATCGGTTCTTCGCGATATTACGGAGAGCCCACGTGGCGGAAAAGTATTTCGAGAGACGGTTACCGTCCAAGAAGAGGAAACGGAGCGAGAGATTCGGATTGGAGGATCCCGTGGAAACTAACGGCGTTAGTAACGGAGGCTGCGAGGGAGGGAGAGTGGGAGATCGGGTCGGGTCTCCGAAACCGGATTTGGATCTGAATTCGAAACCATGACCCGACGGAGCCGGTTCATAACTTTTAATTGCTGTATTTAACCTCTAACCCCCTGGGAAGCACTTTTTTCACTTCTTTATTGATTTCAGTATTATACTAATGTCGAGATAAATAAATAAATATTATTCTAACAAGTAATTTTATTTTTGTTTTTCCTCCGAATGGTATAAAATTCGATCAATTCTTCTGTAGATGTCTTTGCATCTGTCCAACGTCTAGAACAATTCATTTATTATTATTATTATTATTATTATTATTATTATTATTATTATTATTATTATTATTATTATTATTATTATTATTATTATATTAAATATTATATTAAACACATCATTTGATTATGCGGAAGTCATTGGAGAGATAGGCTGTCCTTTAATAAAATAAAAGGTATAAAGATGGGAGGATAGTAGAAGAAAGTTGGTTTCATTATGTATGAATTATATAAATATAAATATCTTATATTTTATAACATCATTATTAATATTATTAGAACAAAACCCAATGAAATAAGCAAAAAAGATTACTTGCATCTCATGACGGGTGACTTGGCATAGCCACTTTCCCTCGTATCTTGTCTAAGCAATGGAATCAGATGCCAAAAGCCATAACATATATCAATAAACATATAACCTTTTCCTATTCTTACAGTTTGGTCTCTTAATATCGTTTCTCAATTTCCGACCCCCAAACAAAAAACATATATATATATACACACACACAACGCTGTCATTTTTATTTTCTATGTCGGAAAAGGTACGTGTGTTCCTCTCTGTCTTTTCATGACCGTACATATTATTTTAGCATCCCGACCCGAGATTAGTCTAGATTTTGATATAAGAGATTCGGTTATAAAAAAAATATATATATTATTTCAACTTCGTTTTCGTTTTTTTTATGTTGACGGTGAGATAAATCAGAGATTATGTTGCGTCGTGATGAGAATGAACTTGGACTGCAATGCTTGTTGCAGAAAAGCAGGGAGAATCATTCTCAATATGAAAGGTGCGTTTAGGTTTGGATATATATGGAAAGATTTCTCTTTCCTTTTTCTCGCTATGCATATCAAATCATTCAAATCACATCGAACCAATACCAGATTCGTATGTTCCAGTTTTCAATTAGAAAACGATTGCCAAACCGGTCTACGGACCCAAATCTATATGTAAATGTGTAGAAACACTAGTGATATTGGAAAAGTAATTAAAAAAAAGAAATATATGTTGTTTTTTTTTTGGTGTGGGTGCAAATATATATATATAATGAATGATATGGGAGAAGAAGTTGAGAGACACATGATAGAGAAAGAGGATAGGAAGGTGATAGTGTGCGGGAGATTCCGGCCGTCGGATGTGGCCATAAAGCTGAGGAAAAAGATGAATCGTAGGGTCGAGATTCTCCATGTTCAAGGCTTCGGACACGAAGGAGGAGGAGATGGAGGAGGAGGAGGAGGTGGCGGCGGTGGACAAGAAGAACACGATCCACATAATTACGACAATGCCATGCAACACGACCACACTACCACTCCATTGTTGTGTTAGTTTTTGTGTTATGATACGTAGAACAAAACAAAAAAAAGGCTTTTATATTAGAGAAATTAATATATTTGTTTATGTGAGCATTGTGCGTAAATGATTCAAGTATTGTATATTAATGGATGATAATCATGATATTTTAAATTACCCAAAACTAGAAAAAAATAGTTTATGTATTATAGAAAGTTTAGAATGAGATATTTACGTCTTTATATACAGAATACAATTTGATCATGGTTTTGGTAAGTTAACATAATATTTTTGTACATTAAGATGTTTTTAATTAACGAAACAACGGCATTTTCATTAAATAAAAGAAAAGTTGTATTTGTATTTTTTTTTTAAGATAAATTTTAACAGTCCAGATACGAGGCTGTTTTTTTTTTCACTTGTTCCTGCCCATAGAACCAAAAATAAGAAATCGATGGGTTTAGAATTGCCCTTAATGGCCCAATAATAAGGGGCTGTTAACCATGCACTAGGCTCATAAAAAATATCGTCTTCGGCCCAATTTCAATGCCATACCTGCCATGGGATAGCCTCGAACTCGCTGGGTTTCAGAAAAATCTCTCTCTCCCCCCCCCCCAACCGATCGGTAGATCGATTGAAGAAGAAGCAAGAGGCGGTGCGGAGGTACCGTAATCGGTAAATCTTAATTGTTTCTCCGACTTGATGGGGCTTCGTATATATTGAGAATCTGAATTTCAACTGTAGATTAGTTCTTCTACCTCTTTTTCCCGGTCAACTGTTATTCGTAATCTCCTGGTCGTAATTTCTGTTTGGTTACCGAGAAAATTGGAGATGACGATACCAAGTTGCGTTTTCTTTGTTTTGATTCGAAATGGAGAGGGCTCGGGTCGATGGGAACCTAATTGGGTCTTCTAATCGTGTTTGATTGTGGTGCGTTTTTTTGGGGTTTAGCGTATTGTCCGGTATAAATGGGTTCTTCACCTAGTTCATCATCTCCAAAGAATCCTTGATCGAATTTCTTAGTTATGTGTCGGAGATCCGGATTAGGTTCTTCTGTTGTTTCTCATTCGGGCAATTTCTGCACAATAATTTTTTAGGGGTCTTCCTCGACATTTACTTAAGCGTAAGAACAAGGATGAGAAACTACTTGGAGATGACCAAACTGGGTGTAGTTGGTAGTTGCTATCTATTATCTGGGCATAAGCCTGAATTAATATAAGTTTTGGAGCCTATTATTTCCGAGGAATTGCCATTTAGGTTCCCTGTAGCTCATAATTATATGTAAATCTTTGCTTACTGATTGTTTTCACCTGAAGATGTATGTTTATTTTCTTATCTTGGTTGTAAACTACGCTGTGTACTTTGAATCTTTTATCTGACCTGTAGTAGCATTTCCTTGTAGATATTGATTGGATCGTTTGAGGCTGGGGATTGAGTTGGGACAGGATGTCTACGATCGATGAGCCATTATACCCCATTGCTGTGCTTATAGACGAGCTAAAAAATGATGATATTCAGCTTAGATTGAATTCCATAAGAAGACTTTCTACAATTGCCCGCGCTCTTGGAGAGGAGAGAACCAGAAAGGAGTTGATTCCCTTTCTTAGCGAAAGCAATGATGACGATGACGAGGTGTTACTGGCAATGGCCGAAGAATTGGGGGTGTTTACCCCTTTTGTAGGAGGAGTTGAGCATGCACATGTCCTCCTTCCACCTCTTGAGACACTTTGCACGGTCGAGGAAACTTGTGTTAGGGAGAAAGCTGTTGAGTCACTTTGCAGAGTTGGTTCTCAAATGAGAGAAAATGACTTGGTTGATCATTTCATTCCTCTGGTCAAGGTCAGACAAAGATCAGAACCTTTTGTAGAATGTTTCTCGTTAATTTCATTATTTTTTCTTCTATATCTTGGATTTTCTGTGTCTCCCTACAAAGTAGGAATACATTTCTGCCCCTAATTTAATTTTAATCTCATAATATTTAGGGCAATAAAAGCCGAAATTGGTAGATCATGGATTTCTTGCTTGTGCTGGAAGATCTAGAAGAGGACCCATCAGATATGCCTGGCCTTAATGTTTTGTCTGTTGTTAGCATCTTTTCATTGGATGTGATTAACCACCTAGCTTTTGTAGAATTCAAAGCACTTGACTTGTTCTAGCTTAATTTAAGCGTAATGTCTAAATGAGTATCCTCTTATTGGTTAACAGAGACTGGCAGCTGGTGAATGGTTCACGGCCAGAGTCTCTGCATGTGGGCTGTTCCATATTGCCTACCCAAGTGCCCCAGATACGTTGAAGACAGAGTTAAGATCGATATACAACCAACTGTGTCAAGATGACATGCCAATGGTTCGGAGAGCTGCAGCAACTAACCTGGGGAAATTTGCTGCTACAATTGATTCAGCACATTTGAAGGCAGATATCATGTCCATGTTTGATGATCTTACACAAGACGGTATTTCTTTGGAGATGGTTCTTGCTGTAGTTTAGACATTTGTATAGTTGTAGAACTCACAGCAAATGACACTATACGGTCATACAGGATTAGTGTTTGTGTGGGTTAACTGATGTGAAAAATGGACAAAATGTGAGTGCCGTGCAATAGTAGTTGATGCACCCTCTGTGCTTGTCACTCACTCCCATCTGACATGCCACAAATACTTATAACACTGATCATTTTCTGATGTTGGACAGGAATAATACTATCTATCTTTATAATCATCTTACACCTTTCTGTTTTCCATATTCACCTTAATGTCAGATCAAGATTCTGTTAGATTATTGGCTGTTGAGGGTTGCGCTGCCCTTGGGAAATTGTTGGAGCCTCAGGACTGTGTGCAGCAGATTCTTCCAGTGATTGTTAATTTCTCTCAGGTGAATAGTTGTGTGAATAATATAGGTTTTTTCCAGTGTTAACTGTTAAGCATTACCTGATAGTTTGAAGATACACGTATTAGCTGTGCTTAACCATGGGTTGCCATCATTGTGCAGGACAAGTCTTGGCGTGTGCGTTATATGGTTGCAAATCAGCTCTATGAACTTTGCGAAGCTGTCGGACCTGAGCCTACTAGGTAAGCAAGTGCTGGTTAGACCTAATTCTGTATGTTTCTTGGATATCCATGACTATAGCAGACATTATTACCCTTCACGGGTTGTTACTTGCAGTTTTATGTTTCTAGAGTCTTCTTCATGCACTTCCGTTTCTTGAATCATCAGGGCGGACCTGGTGCCCGCATATGTGCGTTTGCTTCGTGACAATGAGGCTGAAGTGCGGATAGCAGCTGCTGGAAAAGTGACCAAGTTTTGTCGGATTTTAAACCCAGAGCTCGCTATCCAGCACATTCTTCCTTGTGTAAAGGTACACACACGGAAGAAGTGTGTATTGTGTTTAAATTGTACCAAAAAAAAAATTGTTCAGTTGGTTTTTATTGTTACTAAAATCTGTCTTAATTCTACCCGCAGGAGTTATCATCGGACTCTTCTCAGCATGTCAGATCTGCTTTGGCCTCTGTTATAATGGGAATGGCTCCAGTCTTGGGTAAGGTAAGTCAGTTGTGCAGCCATCTCATACATAGGCGTCCAACTATACAGTATGAAATCAAGTGCGTTTTGATAATTCTTTATATTTTAGTTTAGCATCTTACAGATTATGAGCACGGCGTCCTATTTCTGTTGATTGAAGCCATATATATATATATATCTTCATGATCTCTATTATATCTGACAATAATGTACTACTTCATATACCAAACTATGGTTGATAAAATACTTTATTAATTTTGCAGTGATGCAAGTTCTTAACTTTGCAATGATGTTCAATGCAGGATGCAACCATCGAGCATCTTCTTCCAATCTTTCTTTCCCT